TGTAGGGAATCACAAATCTTGTGAGAAAGACGCTTGGTCAAAGCCTTGGATGCCCTAGTAGCTATATATGCATGCATGTTGAAAATGAAGACAAATCCACATGGCAATTGATGGGTTGTTATTAGATTTGTAGCTTCTATCAGATAACTCACATGGTGGCACAATGTAACGTAAGGATATCATTATACATGTCATGATAGTTCATTATCAAACTCAGTCTTTTATCTGAAACTTTCAAAACAAGTGGGTCAGTAGCACGCTCCACCATTAAAAAATAGTTCACATGCTTTTATTCAATTTTCGCACAACACATGATATCTTTCTATGTATAAACAATAGTGTGCATGTGTCGTGTGTGTATTTCATATCGGATTATGCAACCGATTTATGAAAATCACAGTCCACACACCTATTGGCCTTACTATATATATAGCTAGCTATTACAACTCATGTGATGATACTTCATTACTTTAACTATACAAAAGTTTTTAAAAAAATCAATTTGAGAGAAGAAATATATTTTCACCATTTTTCAAATGTATACCAACCTAACTCCTCGTCAAGACTAAGGTCGAATTTGAGAAGCTGAATGAAAACATAATCATATCACTTTTTCATCTTATATATATATAAATCATCCATACACTGCTAGTGTAAAGTTTTTTATACTGGCAATCAATCAAATCTTTTAAATTATTTTATTTTATGCTTATTTCATCAAATAAACAACTGATATGACACTATTAAAATATATGATTGATTGTCAGTGTAAAAAAACTTTACACTGGCAGTATATAGGTGATTAACTTATATATATATATATATATATATATGTGTGTGTGTGTGTGTGTGCGTGTGCGTGCTTTGATATGAGTGATAAAAAAGAAAGAGATAAAACAAGCATTTTATGCCATATATAAAATACTTTTGTATGCTTTGATTTAGCTTTAAAATCTTTGAAATGTAACTAATCAAATTTTAATGATTTATTCATTGAATTTAAAGTTTTTAATGTATAGATTAAATCTGCAAATTTTTTAAAAATTTTAAAAACATTTGATACTTGATTTCATTAATTCAAATCAACGTATAAAATAATTTTATAATTGTCTGTCAATTTAATATTCTAGGAGTGAGTCTATCATTTAATACTTTATTTCATTTCGATATATAAAATGATTTTATGATTACTTGTCAATTTGAATTCATGAATCAAAGTATTAAAGTGGTTTTCAAATTTTTTTATATTTGCAAACTTGATCTATGCATTAAAACTTTAAATTCAATGATTAGATCACTAAAATTTGATACAAAACATCAATTATTAAACGGAGTAAGTTTATATATATTTACTTTTAGAGTAAACAGATCCCTCATTTTATATATATATATATAGACAGGTTCATATTAAGTAACTTATAATCATTAATGAAAGCATACCCTTAAGAGCAATGATATTCCACGAAAACATTGCACAAACCAACATGGGAGGCATGCTATTGAATCTGTTTATTTAAACTTAAGTTAAAGAAAAATACATTTTTAATAAATAAGTGCTTCCATTTTTTTTAAAAAGTAAATCTTTTCTAAAAATTTATTTTTTAAAAAACTTTATAATTACTTTAAAAATAAATAAACAAACTGACCTATTATGAGATTCAACATTTTGAAAGAGTCGAACTTAGATGATTTCTATAATGGATAATCTAATTGTGACTACGTTTTCTTTGAACTTGACTTGATTATGGCCAATCAAAACAAATTAAACAATGCTCAGATACATTAATGCTTATCATTTCTTTAACTTTACACATTATTGAATATGTATAATGGATTAAGCTATTAGGATTTAATTAACGGTGAAGGATTATTTTATTTTGTTTTATTTTGTCGAAACCCCAAGTATCATTTATCGAAAACAATCATATTTGAGTTGGATAGAATTATTACTGATAACAAAAATCTTCTTTTTAATATATAACAGAACTTTATACTTAAAACTCAAACTTGAGACCATTAGTTAAGCTGGAACAATCCTTTATTAGTTGATTACCTACTTGTTAATGACAAAAGATTAGTTTATGTAAAGTGATAAAATTAACGTCATTATCATTATAGTATGAGAAACATTTGTATAGAAGTAAGTGATTTAGGTGAAAAGGATTTAGAAAATAAATTATTGTTACTTGGTTTTGCAAATGTTTCGACGAGGGAATGATGGTCCTTCGCATTCCAACACCGATAAGAAAGAGAGTTTTAGAGGTAGCATATATGTTAGGGTTAGAGTGATACCCAATGATAGAAGAAAATTGGAAGGTGAATTTAATCTTTGTAAAACAAAAACGTGAACACTACATAAAACAGTGGGTGAGAGGATAAATATATTACAAATAGTGATAAAGGCTGATTTCTAAATAAGGTAGCAAATGATGCTCCATTATTTGAAATAAAACAATCCAAATTATAATTGATTTGTTGCACCAGATTTCCTGAATAACGGCTGATTTATTTTTGATTTGTAGCAATCTGTTTCCTTAATAATAGCTGATTTTGTTTGCTCTTTATCTATCAATTTAATCCCATTGATTGTGTCTTGCTTGATATTGTTAATATCCTCCCGCAAACGAGGCCGAGGTTGAAGGCAGAGTTTGGGAAAAAAATGCATAAGTGTAGCCTTTGACATAGGTTTAGTAAAGAGATCTGCAACTTGATGATTGGTGGGGACGTGGCGAGTGACAAGAAGACCAAGAGCAACTCGTTCACGGACAAAATGATAGTCTAGTTCAATATTTTTGCTTCGGGCATGAAAGACAGGATTGATGGTGAGATGAAGAGCACTAATATTGTCACAATAAAGAGTGGGAGGATAAGTAAGCGGGATGCGGAGGTCTTTCAAAAGGAATGTCAGCCATGTGAGTTCAGCTGCAGTATTAGCCATAGCCCTATATTCAACTTCGGTGCTAGAGCGAGAGACGGTGGGTTGTTTCTTTGCGCACCACGATATGAGGTTGCCTCCAAGAAAAGTACAGTAGCCAGTGGTAAAACGTCGAGTGGTAGGACAACCTGCCCAATCTGCATCTGAAAAGGCAAAAAGATCAAGTGTCGTGTTAGAAGTAAAATGTAAACCTACATTAATAGTGACTTTGACATATCGCAAGATACGCCGAACCATTTTGAAATGCATAATAGTTGGAGCATGCATAAATTGAGACACATAGTTAACACTGTATGAAAGGTCAAGACGGGTAAAAGTGAGGTATTGTAAAGCTCCAACAAGCCCACGGAAGTGACTTGGATCCTCAAGCAAAGTGTGATTTGATGTGAACTTGGTCTTGGATTCAAGAGGTGTGCTCATCGGTTTACAATCAACCATGTTAGCTTGTTCAAGGATAATTAAAGCATAATGTGGTTGAGATAGATGAAGGCCATCATCTGTTGGAAGTATCTCAATTCCTAGGAATTGGTGAAGAGGCCCCAAGTCCTTCATGGCAAATTCAGATTGCAAGAGATTAATAAAGTTAGAAACGAGGGTGGTGGAGGATCCTGTGAGAAGTATGTCATCAACATAGAGAAGAAGAATAATAGATCCAGAATTAGTGTGAGAAATAAATAAGGATGGGTCAACCATGCTACAAAAAAAACATATTTAAGAAGAAATGAACTAAAGCGATCAAACCAGGCCCGAGGTGCTTGTTTGAGGCCATAAAGAGCCTTTTGGAGCTTGCATACATGGTTTAGGGAGTTAGGATCAGCCATTCCAGGAGGTTGTTCCATGTATATATTTTCAGAGAGAAAACCATGTAAAAAGGCATTTTTGACGTCAAGTTGATGAATATGCCATTTCTGAACAAGAGCGACAGTGATGATTAAACGGATGGTTCCTAGCTTAATTACTGGAGAAAAGGTTTCAATATAATCCACTCCATCAACTTGGTGGTATCCTTTTGCAACAACTCAAGCTTTGAGGCGATCTAGAGATCCATCTGGTTTGAGTTTGGATTTAAAAACCCATTTAGAGCCAATGACATGCATATTAGAAGTTCGAGGAACAAATTGCCAAGTTTGATTTTTGTGTAAAGCCTCAAGTTCTTCACCCATGGCAGCCTTCCACCCAGGATGGGATAACGCTGAACGAATGTTGTGTGGGTTGCATGGGATGTTCTCAGAGGAGGTAGAAAGTAATGCATATTTTGGATTAGGCTTTACTATTCCGCGTTGTGAACGAGTAACCATCGGATGCAAAGGTAGATCTTGTGGTTGTTAGGTTTGTGTTGATGAGACGGGCTCATGTGAAGAAGGTGAGGTGGGAGACCCAAATTCAAGCACATGTTCAGATTGTGAAGGTTGTGTGGAGTACTCATGGTGCTCAATTTCAGGGTGTGGGGTTTGTTCTGGTTGAGTGATTGACTCATGTGTGGTGCCAAGTTGATCCAGAGAGGATGGTAGTGGATTGATAGAAGGGAGGCAAGCTGCAACGGGAAGGTGTGCAGTAGGAGAGTGTATCAAGGTTGTGGGTAGCGGACTTAAGCATGGTGAAGTAGACGGAGAGGCTGAAAAATCTGCACAAGAGTCAAAGTTAGTGTGAGGTAACCAAGAGTCAAAAATACTAATGACATGTTGTGTAGTAGGGGGAGCATTATTTTGGCTAGTAGGCTTCTTATATGGAAATATTAACTCATCAAAAACAACATGTCGAGAGATGAAAAATTTCTTACTAGGAGGATGAAAACACTTATATCCTTTATATTTATCACTGTATCCAACAAAGACACAAATAGTAGTTTTTGGATCAAATTTGTGGCGTCGTGTGTCCCAGGTGTAAGGGAAACATTTAGACCCAAACACTCGAAGTGAAGTGTAGTCAGGGTGTGTTCCATGCAAAGCAAAATATGGAGTTTCAAAATTAAGGGAAGATGATGGAAGCCTATTAATCAAGTGGACAGCTGTAATAAAAGCTTCAACCCATAGAAACAAAGGAGCACCACTATGAAACAACAAGGTCATACCTAGTTCACGTATTATTCTACGTCGCCTTTCAACCATACCTGTTTGTTCTGGGGTGTATGGACAGGAAACTTGATGAACAATACTTGTTAAAGTAAAATGATTTGATAATTTGGAGTTGATAAATTCACCCCCTCCATCAGAATGAAAAATATTTATCTCTTTGTTAAATTGTTTTTTAACATACTGTTCAAAGGATATGTAAGTAGGAAAAAAATCAGATTTTTGGTGTAAGGGAATAATCCATGTATACTTAGAGAAATCATCAACCAAACATGCATAATATCGAAATTTACCAATAGATAAAATTGGGGCAGGTCCCCACAAGTCACAATGTATTTTTTCAAAAATAGTAGAACTAGAGTGTTTAGAAGAAGAAAAAAGTAATTTATTAAGCTTTCCCAATTGACAACTATCACAAAGATGTTCAGATTTTACTTTTCCTACTACATGAATTAACCCTTTATTCTTTAGCAATTGTAGAGCTATAGTTTGAGGATGTCCTAGGCGTTGATGCCAAGTGTCTGCTGATCCAGATTTGAAACGATGAGAGTAATGCAATTCAGGTGAGGGAGAAAGTACATATAGATCATCCTTGCGCCTCCCTGTAATCATTGGTTTCCCTGTTTCTCGTTCCTTAACACAAAAATCAACATTAGAAAATTCACAATTAACAGGAAATTGCTTAGTTAATTGACTTATAGAAAGTAGATTCTTTGTTAAGGAAGGAACTAGTAAGACATCATGAAGGGGTAGAGTAACATTCCTTTGCTTGATGAATGAGTCTCCAGTACCAAGAATTGGTAGAGAAGAACCATCACCAATAAAGACAGAATTTGTACCTGAATATTTTTGAATGTTATTAAGCATACTCGGTTTACCTATCATATGATTGGAGGCTCCAGTGTCAGAGGTCCATTCTGTTTCAGTTATTGTGTTATCTAGGGTGAGTGTAGCTAGAGCTTGTGGTATATCATCAGATTGAGTTGGTTTCTTAGGCACCCACCAACATATTTTTGCTATATGACCCATCTTGCCATAATACTGACACTTCTCATTTCGATATAGCTCGCGTTCTGTAGATGTCATACGACGTTCTCCCGGTGGTGGGGGACGTGTCTGCTGAGTGGTCACGATAGAGTGAGTTCAAGTTTGATTACTTGGTGTTTGGGCATGAAATCCTCGCCCGGTTGATGTGAAGGATTGAGAAATCCCACGATTTTGTGAGGAAGACTGGTGAGATCTTTGTTGGTGTTGGCCATAGAAAGCCATGTGAGGAGTAAATGAGTTTTGCATATTGGTGTGGCTAGAGAACCAACTACGTCGCTGATCAAGGCTTTGGAGTTGCGAGATTAGTTCAGAGTAAGATGGCCTAGGAGGCTTTAGCATTGTTGTTGTGAATGTTTCATAGTCAGGACCAAGGCTAGTGAGGAGGTAGAAAAAATTTTCCTTATCTGGGATAGGTTTCCCAATAGCTGGTAAGTTATCACATAGGCCTTTAAAGATGCGAATGTGTTCTCCAACAGTGCGATCATCCTCTTTGCGAAGATATGTAATTTGTTGACAGAGCGTGAATTCACGTTCTTGAGAATCTTCCGCGTATGCATCCTTAAGTGCATCCCAAACTGCATGGGATGTGTCTAGGCCAATAACGAGGCCAAGAGCTTCTTCAGAAAGTGTTCCGATTATCCATCCTCGGAGAAGACGATCTGCCTTGCGCCAGGTGACAAATTCGTTAGTTAATTTTGGGGTAAATATTTCTGAGTTTGTAGTGTTATTGGAATCTGGAGTGGTGTATTGAGTAGGGGCAGGATCTTCATTTGTGAGATGTCCCACCAGATCTTGACTTTCTGCAAGTGCTAAAGGTTGTTCATGCCACAATGGGTAGTTTGCTGGTGTGAGTTTGAGGGTAATGAAATTACCAACATTGAGAGATAAGGATGTCATGGTGTTCACAAAGGCTCTTGATACCAAGAAGAAAATTGGAAGGTGAATTTAATCTTTGTAAAATAGGTTGGTGTTGGCCATAGAAAGCCATGTGAGGAGTAAATGAGTTTTGCATATTGGTGTGGCTAGAGAACCAACTACGTCGCTGATCAAGGCTTTGGAGTTGCGAGATTAGTTCAGAGTAAGATGGCCTAGGAGGCTTTAGCATTGTTGTTGTGAATGTTTCATAGTCAGGACCAAGGCTAGTGAGGAGGTAGAAAAAATTTTCCTTATCTGGGATAGGTTTCCCAATAGCTGGTAAGTTATCACATAGGCCTTTAAAGATGCGAATGTGTTCTCCAACAGTGCGATCATCCTCTTTGCGAAGATATGTAATTTGTTGACAGAGCGTGAATTCACGTTCTTGAGAATCTTCCGCGTATGCATCCTTAAGTGCATCCCAAACTGCATGGGACGTGTCTAGGCCAATAACGAGGCCAAGAGCTTCTTCAGAAAGTGTTCCGATTATCCATCCTCGGAGAAGACGATCTGCCTTGCGCCAGGTGACAAATTCGTTAGTTAATTTTGGGGTAAATATTTCTGAGTTTGTAGTGTTATTGGAATCTGGAGTGGTGTATTGAGTAGGGGCAGGATCTTCATTTGTGAGATGTCCCACCAGATCTTGACTTTCTGCAAGTGCTAAAGGTTGTTCATGCCACAATGGGTAGTTTGCTGGTGTGAGTTTGAGGGTAATGAAATTACCAACATTGAGAGATAAGGATGTCATGGTGTTCACAAAGGCTCTTGATACCAAGAAGAAAATTGGAAGGTGAATTTAATCTTTGTAAAATAGAAACGTGAACACTACATAAAACAGTGGGTGAGAGGATAAATATATTACAAATAGTGATAAAGGCTGATTTCTAAATAAGGTAGCAAATGATGCTTCATTATTTGAAGTAAAACAATCCAAATTATAATTGATTTGCTGCACCAGATTTCCTGAATAACGGCTGATTTGTTTTTGATTTGTAGCAATCTGTTTCCTTAATAATAGCTGATTCTGTTTGCTCTTTATCTGTCAATTTAATCCCATTGATTGTGTCTTGCTTGATATTGTTAATAATGATAACATCATGCCTAGCTAGAGGCTTAATCTTGAAGGAATCAAGAAGAGTGTACTGGACTTGAAAAAAGAAGGTTTAAGTTCTTACTAAGCCTTAGGTCCCTTTTTAGCTTGCTCACTCTTCCTATTCTTTGTGTATATTTTTCTTAGTCATGTATTGTAGATATTTTTGTCCTTGTATTGATTTTATTTTTGAGGGTGTAATAGTTAGTAGTTTATGAGAGGTGTAATTAGCTAAAATCATGTTAAGCTTATAGGACTTCAATGGGCCAAAATCCATTTTTTTCAAGATATCTTGGAAGTCCACCTTTTCACTTGGACGTCCAACATCATGTCCATTTGGTCATCCAAGTAGCCAACTAGTCACATGGCTTTTGATAGTGATATTTCAACAACTTGTTTTAGTAATCATTAATAGTTTGTTAGTTGTAATTATTAGGTTAGATAGTTGGAGTTAACTTAAGCTAACCTAAGTTACTCTTAAACTAGGATTAGCTTGGCTTGCTCCAAAAGCTTCCATATATGTAATTAGAGTTGGTTAACTTAAGTACAAGATAGTCAACCTTGGTTAT